AAGGTTAAACGGAACGTAAACGAAACGTAACGTAACGGTAACCGTAACCGTAACTAACTATTGAGTAGTAGTACGTACGTAACGTAACGTAACGTAAGTAAATAAAATAAACAAAAGTTTTACTATGTACAACCGATAAAAACCTGTATGAACTTTAAATAACATGCGTATTTCTAATATTTAATTCATGTGCTTGATATGTTCCCAATTAAGCTACCATAAATAACTTGTGCGAGTTCAATATTAAATGTTTGATTATTAAATTCTATTATCAGGTTTAATTTTCTCTCTCTTTCTCATATTTATTAAATGCAGAATTCAATTATGAACAAATTATACAGGTGGGATCATACGGAAGTCAGGCGGTATATTTTAAAAACACTTCGAGTTGTACGTATAGGTACCACTGAGCTCTCTTACTCCAAACACTTTAGCTTCCCAGACCACAACGGAATCAACCATACGAATGTCCTTGTCTTAAAACATGCCCTAAACGCTTAGAACACAGACTTGTATTTAAATTAAATTGTCTGTCATCCCATGCGATAAACCGTGATTCTTTTTCAAGTTATTAAAACTTTTTTCTGGCCATATTATAATATATGGTCTGCTTTTGTATCTCGCATGATAACGCCGTTTATATTTCAATATGATCTTTTATTGCAGTCTCCCACTGCCATGGTTTCTAGCAACCATGTTATTTGGACCTGTGCAAGTCAACAGCGCCGGAATGGCTTGTTCTATTCTTCTCTTATTTCTGATGTTAATCTTCGTCATCGCTTCCATTGCCTGCTTCAAGTGGCGGATGAATACTAAATTAGCTGGGGTTATGTTCATTCTGTACTTTGTATTTATAACACTGAGCTTGCTGTTGGAGTATGAAATCATTAGATGTAATGCTATATTGAAACCGTTTACAGGCTAGTGAAAAGTAATGCCGAAAAGAAAGCTGATGAGAAACGCATTATTTTGTTTATTTATTTTGAAATGATTCAGTTGTATCACCCCTCCCGCCTTTTTTATATTGTTCATACTGTTTGAAGGCACAGTGTGAGATATGGAGTTAAACCTTATGTGTTAAATTATCGCAACGATTTAGAATCCTGTAATCGAAAATGTAAAATAAATAGACATAACTATGTAGTATTAATATGAAAGAATCTGTAAATCGTTTGTTGTTGTTTTACATATTTCTTGCGCATGTATGTTAGGCTTAACTGTTATCTTGAATTTTTCGCGTACGCAATTGAGTACTGCCTTCATAGAAGACCTAAGAATGCAGTTAGCTGTTTCTAGTAGTGAAATATTGCCTGGATGAAAATTTAGAAAAGTATAACACAGGTTTTCCAAAGTACAAACTCAAAATTTATAGCCGTTTTCAAGACTTACTTCACCCTTACGTACTGATAAAAGTATCTATATGAATTATATACAATTGAAATGTTTGTGAAACATGCACCAGTACTGTAATTATCAGAGCATAACATTCTACTATGTGACGTAACAAGAAAAAGGGTTTACTTAGTAGCAAACACATACTGCTTTTATAATAGAATCATTATATTACAGTTACAAAATATACGTTCTATTAGATTAAGTTGTTTAATGAAAACTGTAACACAATTGCTTGAATATATGTATATGTAACAGTGAATTGTGAGTAATATGTGTTTAAAGAAGGCGTATTTGAGCAACGTTCATGATCGACATAACTTATGACGTCATTAGATTGTGATGATTCATATCTAAATATCATTAGTTGAGGTTCTTTGTTGACTTAAAATTGATAGCCAAAGTTTATAGCCTATTTAATTTAAACTTTACTTTGAGAATGAAATCTCACAAACGCTCTGGACATGAATAAGTTCACGAACATTTGATAGAGGGCTTTCAGCTACAAACCCATTAAAACTTATAATTATTGTCTTTTGTTTTAATGATGTATTTTAACACAGTCTTTTGTTTGAATGATGTATTTTAACACAGTCTTTTGTTTGAATGGTGTATTTTAACACAGTCTTGTTTGAATGATGTATTTTAACACAGTCTTTTGTTTGAATGATGTATTTTAACACAGTCTTTTGTGAATGATGTATTTTAACACAGTCTTGTTT